GCCATCATTGTTGTTTGGCGGGCCCGGGCTGGGGATTCGAACCCGCCACCTTAGGTGTATGTGGCTGGCGCCTTAGCCGCTTGAGCCACAGGCACCGAGCCTCCATATCCTTCTCATGAGTTCCTTTTCTGGTTAAATGAGTCAGACTCAGGTTTTCTGTTGCTTGCAACTAAAAACTCCAAGTACTACAAAAACACCTCTCTTTGTGCCATCTATTGTAATTTCTTTTGGTAAGTAGCTTTCCTCCATTATTTATTAAATTATTACTATTTATTATTTGATTATAATCTTTGAAGGTTAATGTCTTTGCATTCCTATAGTATATAGCATAGTTCTTTTTCTTTTGAGACAGAGACTCACTATGTCTCCCTCGATAGAGTGCTGTGGCATCACAGCTCACAGCAACCTCAAACTCTTGGGCTTAAGTGATTCTCTTGCCAAGGCCTCCCAACTAGCTGGAACTACAGGCACCTGCCACAATGCCTGGCTATTTTTGGTTATAGCTGTCATTGTTGTTTGGCAGGCCCAGGCTGGATTTGAACCCATCAGCTCTGGTGTATGTGGCTGGCACCCTAGCTGCTGAGCTACAGGCTCTGAGCACATAGCATAGTTCTTTACACAGTGTATAATACAGGTTGTAAACTTGTAGATTATGGTCCGTATCTAGATTGCATATATTTTGATCAATCTGTAGTGCTTCCTTTTTCTTTCTTTTCTTTTCCTTTTCTCCCTCCCTCCCTCCCTCTTTCTGACAGAGTCTCACTCCATTTCCCTGGCTAGAGTTCACTGGTGTCATCAAACTTCTGGGCTTGAGTCTCCCTAGTACCTGGGACGACAAGCACGAACCCTATGCCTGGCTAATTTTTCTCTTAGTACAGACTGGGTCTGGTTCTTGCTAAGGCTGGTCTCCAACTCCCAACTTCAAGCAATCCTCCCACCTCAGCTTCCCAGTGTTAGGATTACAAGCATGCACCACCACACCCAAACCACTCTCTTCTATTTTTTTTTTTAAATTGACTTAGCTGCAACATTTAAAAATCAAAAGATTTCACGTGAAATCCACCTTTCCACCCTCTCTTGAAAATTCTGAAGATCTGGCAATTTTAGCCATGCACTTCCATAGCTGCTCTCTTTAAACAAAACATGGGCACTTCGGTTTGCCAAAGTCCTTACCTCGTCCACTTCATTCCCTTTCATTGCTTTCCTGGTCACTGTGGACATATACAAGTTTATGTATGTAGACATATACAAGTTTGCCATCCTTGGTGCTCAACCAAATTGCATTGAATAAATTAATTGGGCAATTAGTGATTGAATTTTCATTTTTATTTCACATGTGTTCTATTTCCCTAACAAGATTGTAATAAGGCATTTGGCAGACGGAATCCTGTTAACTGTTTCTCTTTAAATTACTTTTTGGTTGTCACATATTTCAATAAATGTTCATATACAGAGTCTGCCAAAAAACGCATATACCCTTTAAGAAAGGAAAAAAAGTGTATTAAAATTGTAATACTCATTAACTTCCTGCAATTACAAGAGACACAAGATAACAAACGTTATCAGTATATATTGAGTATTACAATTTTAATACAGTTTTTACCTTTTGGGGGGCAGCCTCTGTACGTTTATAAAACCTTATCCGCAGAGTTTGACTTGCCCACCCTGGGTTGAGCCCCTCTGATTTGGTTTGGGTGTGCCTGAAATGTCATCATCACGACTGGTTCCTTGGGTTGAGACCTGGTGATTTATCAGGTAAAGAAATTAAGATTATTTCCAGATAATAAAAACATATAGCACTATGAAGGAGGTTTTAGGCGGGATGCCATCTTTTCTACTGCAAAGGAGAGATAGGCAAGTTCTTGCCGAGGTGCTCGAGTTCCCAGCTGGGACTTTGGGCAAGGTGATGGGAGATTAGAACGTAGGGTGGTTGCGTTCTGGAGTTTATCCGAGGCTTTCTGGGTGGGGGTTCTATGCAATACGCCTCAGAATGATCCTCCCTCCGGGTCTGGCGGCCCAGGGCGTGGTTTCTGGCACAGTCTCCTAGCAGTTGTCATTGGGGTCAGTTTCAGGACTCCAGAACCAAGCTTCGGACTTTCCTAATCTTGGGGGCTCATCTCCCGGCTCCCCCAGTTAATTTCTATCTGTCGCTGACGCTGTCCAGTACCCTCAGTGGCTGGGGTCGACCCCCTGCGCAACACCCTCTCGGGCCCCTTCTGCCTCAGTTTCTCTAAAGAGGCAAGAGGGGAATGATATGGGGGGATCCCCTGTCCTCCTACAGCCGAAGCAGTGGAGACGCAGGGAGGAGGTCTGGCCGAGTTCGGGCTCCAGCCGAGGCTCCGTGGACGCTCTAGTCTCCGGCCGCCGCTGATCCTGGGCACCTAGCGAACTGCGCGCCCCTCTGCCCGCCGCCCCCCGCACCCGCGGTCCAGCCGCACAGAGCAGCGCTGAGCCCAGGCGCCTCCAGACCTGGCGCTCCCGCGCGCCCCCTAGCGGCCGCCGCGCCGCCTCGCTCCGTCCCAGGCTCGTCCGCGGCGCAGCTCACGTGACCGCGCTCCGGGCCTGCGGCCGCTGTCGGTTCCCCCAGTCACCGAGCGAGAGGGAAGAAACAAGATGGCGGCTGAAGGCGATCCGGAGTGGGGCCCCAGCAATTCGGATTGAGCCTTCTCCCTCCACCCGCTTCCGCCGGTCGGGCCCCTCCCGCCCGGCTCCGCCGGCCTCCCCACCCGGCCCCGGCGCCCCCCACCGCCCCCCTGCGCCTGCCCCTCCCCCC